AGTCATACCTTTCGACACATAAATTCTCAGCATAAGCAGTTAAAAAATTTCTCTTTCACATCTTTTCATGTATAGGGAGTCATTCTATTTATACAATCATTTTTTACATTATTGGTTGACAATCATACTTGTCAACATTATATTCATCCATTTCAAAAATCGTTTTTAAAATTAATGAATCAGATTTGGATAACAACAATGTTGTCATCCATTATTGTCAACAACAATTGTACAAGTAGATTAATTCATATGTAGGATATTATCTCCTTGTAATAACGCTACAATATCAGTCGTAATAGGAGCAATATTGAAAATTTTTGCACAAAATTCACACTCGACACTTCGGCTACTTGCAATCTCATGAGCTGTAATATAACCATGCAAATCCACCATTGTTCGTCTTTTGAACACTAATTTGCTTTCGTGGCTTGATATTATTGGGCAGGACATATATTGACACGTCCAAAATGGAAAATAAAGAAACTACATTAATTAAGCAACTAAACAAATAAAAAATGAAAAATAAAGTCCATTGCATCTGCAGAGCCCGAGACAAAGAAATTCCCAGATGGCGGAATTGCCCGAAATCGTGGCCTCGAGCTCCACTTCTTCCGGTCGTGATAAATCATTTGAAGAAATGGACTCTCTCAACAAGCAAACGCAGGTTGGTGTCCCCTTTTCCTTCATTTTTTCTCTCTATTAGAATGGAAATGCTATTTAATTCTTGTTCTTTTTATGTATTTCTACAGTCATAAAAGAGCGTGCATTAGATGGATGTATCGTGTTGCCTTTGAAAAATACCCCCTTTCCCCTTTTTTTGTTGGATCGGAGTAAATGTTTACATAAAAGTCACATGTAATAATTCAGGTTTTAATTTTGATAGATGATATTTCCTCTTTCTTTTGTGTGTGTGTGCGTGGGTGGGTGGGTTTGTGATTTCTTCAAATTATAATATAACTATGAAGAAAAATTTAATTGGGTTGTGGATGTGGAAAGTTTTTAGCTTGGTTGGTAGTTGATGTTAATTTCTCAATAAAAATGCATTTGGGTGTTCTAGGCATTATACGATGGATGGTTTTATTCACATGTCTTTGTTATTTGTGGAATTTAAGAAAATAGGGTTTTGTTGGATTTTGAACTGATTGAATTTTGATAGTCTTCGAGCAATCTTTCCACGAATAAGGGTTAGACGAAATTGATTTGCTTCAATTATGCTTTATGATGAACGTTGTTAATATGTAACAATGTTCAGTACAATTGAAATATATTGTTCTATTGAACATTTCCTTCTGTAGAATAGAGTGGAGGAACTAGTGTTGTGCAGGTTGCTAGAATACCTTCTTCTGTTTATAATAAATAAAAGTGCATCTGAATTGATCTCATCTGTTTAATAATTTTAAGTTCTCTTTGTTGATCATTGTGGGGTATTCTTACATCATGAACAAAAATTAAAAAGGATGTGAAGGTTTTCTGCACTGGGAGAATTGCATGTGTCGGTCTTTCCAAATTCTGATTTTGTGCAACTTGAAGTTGTTTTATGAAGGGGAAGTGCCAAATATTTATATTCTTTAATTTCTCTAAGGACGACATTAAAGATCAACTGTTAATAGAAAATGCCTTTCATGCATTGACTTGTTTTGAAGGCACGTGCGGAAAGACTTTTTATAACTTTATCATCTTGCAGAAGTGAGTTCTTGGAAGATTTGCTGCTGGTTTTTGTAGTTGCTATAAGATTTGATTTCAAATCCCATGGTATATTTTATGCAGGCTCAAATCTTGAATTTCTCCACGTGAATGGTGTCTATATTTCAATTTGAAGGATTGGACACTCGTAGATGGTAACTTGGTATCATCAATACAACTTTCATTAGATTTGGCCCAGTTTTTTACCCAGCCAAAAATGGGGTTAGTGGTGGCGTTGGTTCAGGAGGTCAGAAGTCTAAAAAAATCTATCTAAATAAAAACATCATGGATAAGCAATGTTTATTATTCTCAATTGGGTACCATAAGCCTAAAGAAAAAACTACTAAATAATGCCAAAGATTATAAAAATAAAAATATGTTCCAAATGAACCAAGAACCATTTGAAAATCAGTAATAAAATAAATTGACAAAATTAAGAATCTAACTTGAAAACCAATATAAAACAGACTATTAAATTAGCAAATAATAAGTTAATTATTAGGCATCTATATAAAATTGAAGGAAAAGTGACTCGCTCAAAACAAGGCTGCTCATTAGCGTCAAAGTCTCATATTTGAATCTTGTGCACAGTAATCTAGATTTCTACTGGAGCTTTCCAGAGAAACTCTGGTTTATTTAAAAATCTGCCAGTGTTGGACTGTTTTTGGACAGGTATCCAATTAACCCACCCCGAATTGGCTTCCTAGATGTGTCACTGGTGACTGGTTTTTGGATGGAACCCCCCAGTCCCATTTGGCTTTAATAACGGATACAACACATTTAGAAAATTGATCTGAAAATAGGTTTTAGAATCTGTTTAGGCTTATTTTCAATATGAGAATGGTAAATAAGGGAAAGGATAAACATTCACAATCATGTAAGTTTAATGTCTGTTCTGTGTTTATAAGTGCTATTATTGATACTTGTAGAAATCACCTATTGTGGCAATTGGCAAGTGGTCCATGAATGCATATAAATTCTTGTAGTATGGCAATAGACCTGTTTCCTGATTTCAATTGTTTTGCACTAATTCCTTGCATTTGTTTCTATAGGTACCAGCATTACGTGGCTTACAATCAGCAAATGGTGACGTTCAGAAGTTCCCATTCATGTACCCTGCACTTGTTCCTCAGTTATTCTCCCAGCAGGACCAGGAACAGATGAATCGTGGACCTGGCCTTTACGCTGTTCCCGTTCTACCATTCGCACAGCCTATCTCTGGATTTCCATCCAATACACTCATTCCATTTACCTACAATTTACCTGTGTAAGTATTGCAGCCACCATTTTTTTTATCTGTTATTTAGATAGTTATGAAATTTACTTCTATAATTCATTGGAAAGTATTAGGAGGAAAGGGAATCCTTGCTAGTATGTGTTATCCCACTTTTGTACTGAAGTTTAATGGTTGCTAATTTTACTGTAATCCTTATCTTGTGTATCACTTTCATAGATTATTTTATATGATTTAAAGTTTATAATTATCATTGTAACCAAATATGCATTGATCATAATGCACGCTTGAGATGGGCAACACAACATTTTTTCTCCATTATAATAAATATATTTTCACGTGGTCTGTGCACTGACCTTTAGTCTCTTGTACTTAATTCGCACATTTCTCGGATCTTCTTTAAGCATGTCAGAAGATATCATATTGTTTCTTGTTGAATGCTTGGCTTCATTCATTAGCTTTTCACTGCTTAACTAACATGAATGCTTAAATGTAAACAGAGCTTCAAATTTTTTCACATCTAATTTGGACTCTTGGTGCACATGTTATAACCAGTGAACGCAGTTCTTCGGAGACTGGAGCAGTTGGTGATGTGCAAGGACAAGTAGGTGAGCAACCACACCAGCAACAACAACAGCCTGGACCCCAGAGAGAAGTTATTGTGCGAAGATTTCAAATTGTATTTCATCTTGATGTAGCACTTATCGTAAAGCTGGTGGCTGTGATTTTCTTGTTTAGCCAAGATGGATCAAGAGAAAGGCTTACTCTCCTTGTGTTTTTTGCTTTACTTATCTATTTGTAAGTACTCAATAATAATTTCTTAATATTCTATTTTCCCACCCACCCTTACCAAGTGCCCAGTATAAGTTCTTTGAGTTAACATCACATGGATTAAGTTTTTGTTGTTGGGTTATGCAGATATCAAACTGGAGTTCTTGCACCGTTAGTACGATGGCTTTCACAAGGAATGCATAGGGCAGCCCCACCTCGCCGACCACTCAATCCAGCCGCTAGGCCATTTGTTCCTGCTGCTCAAAGGGAAGCAAATGAAATTGCTGCTGCTGCTGCAGGTACATTCATTACTGTTACATCTGTCACTGATATGATAACTGGATGAAACTTTGCTGATTGTTAAAGACGTTGATGATGCATAAGATTCATAAAAGTGATTAAGAAGTACATATGGAACCCTTCTACTTTTGGTTTGTTTGATTGATCAATTCTCATTGGTTCAAGACTTTTTCCCTTGTCGATCCTCCTTTCCAAAGAGAACTGGAAGATTGAATTGGAATGGGACTTTCATTGTCCACTGGAAGTTATTCTCTATCTTCATCTAGTTCTGGAATATTCCCGTTGGTAGGTAATGGTTTTCACTGGAATCGGACATTAAATGGCTTAAAACAAACAGAATGCTTTATGGACAACAAACTTGCATAACATGTGCCTGTTTTTACTTCTCTTATGCTCTATTTTTCTCTAAACATTTCCGAACCTCATTTTGGTATCTTTCAAAATCTTTCTGTGAGTCAAACAGTGAAAGTTTTCTTAACAGTAGTTGATCTTTGATATGTCAGGTGGGCAACCTGAAGGTCAGAATGAGAATCCACAAGTCAACGATGCAAATAGGGCAGTTGAGAATGAGCATGAAGTGGAACATGCAGAAGGTGAGGTTGGGAACCACCGCTGGTGGGGAATTGTGAAGGAGATCCAAATGATCGTTTTTGGGTTTATCACTTCACTTCTTCCGGGCTTTCACAACATAGATTAGACAGTAAAAAGATATCAGGCTTGTTATCTGTGGGATCAACCCGGGCACTGAGAAAGAAGCGTGGTTAGAGAAATTCTTTAGTGTTCTCAAGATTATGGTTTTAACACTCTATATCTCTTGCTATGATACAAGGATAAATCAACTTACATGGATCTGGAAAGGAATTCTTTATGCAATTTGGTTTTTGAGGCCTGTGTTAGTAATATGACGTTATATATTGCTATTTGATACTGGGGAATTTATCAGTATTTGGGATTAATTATATTTTTATTTCTTCAGCTTATTCATTTCAATTCGCCAACACATCCATTTTTCACTAGAAAAACTATCCTTTTCACAGCCCAAAGTTACCAAGAACATACTAATCCGTAGACTTGGCTTTCCAATCTATCGTTATCATTGTTGAAGACACTAATTCACAATACATATGTGGCCTCTTTTTAAATGCTTAAACTTTTAGATAAAGTGGTTATTATGGTATTAGAGTTGGACAAAGGAGCTAAGTTCAATTATAGCACCGTTTTTCAATATACGACCATTAAACATACTTAAGCACAAAAGGCAATCTGCTGCTAACGTTCAGACAATTTACTCCTCACAGGAGTAAAGAGATAAATCTGTGCAAGTACATGTTTATGATTTTACGCAGATGAAATGCACGCACTCACACTAGAGGCCGTGAGAGTGTATTTACATAATTGAACAATTCAAGTGCATGTTTGTCAAAGTTTATAATTGTTTATAAACAGTGAGTCCGAAGGAATGTGTAATTAAGAAGTAAGTAAAAGTAGTCGCTTATACGAAATGTGTGGATAAAAATAGAATTTAACCAATTTATAAGCAACTTAGGCTTTTATAACAGGATTAACCATGAAACGTAGGTGGAAAAATAACCAGAGCAAAAGCTTGAAAACCAAGTTACAAAATCTCAGCATACATAAAGAATCGTAACATATATACATTTCTTGTGTTACTATTATCAATAAGTCAATAGATTTTCCTCTCCTGTCCAATCCAAGGTGCAGAGTAGATTGACTATCTCCTCAATCCTCGAATGAGAAAAATCACCTACCATAAACATTTCGACTGATCCCTTAACTTCAATCAGACTATGGCCAGGTTCCTTCTTCAATCTGCTACCCTGCAGCAATTTTCTTGCCATAGCAACATTGTCCCACTTGCCATTTGAAGCATATAAGTTTGCCAACAAAACATAAGGTGAAGTGGTAACGGGCTGAAGTTTTAGAAGCCTTCTAGCCAGTTGTTCCCCAGCTATAACATCTCCATGCAGTCGACATGCCGAAAGTAAACAGC